GAAAAAGCAAACGATCGGGAAACTTATGTCAATATCATTAATCGTATTTACAATTGGCACAGTTGATAATGAAAATTCGCATTCGAATTAGATTAACAAGGATACTTTCTCGCGTGTGTCGATTCTACACGATGGAACAATGGTGACTCGCGGCGCTTAACCAGCGCATTTTAAACGTTTGATGGAAACGAGTGGGCAGAATTTAAATTCTGCGAACGGGTTTCGTGCGTCGGGCTACGTATGTAGGTCGTGGAGGAAAATTTTCGAAATGAAATCCGTTATCTCTGGCAAATGAATTTCAGGAAATTTCAGGCGGCGTGACGGGCCCCACCCCCACCACTTCGGTAATTCAGAAATGAATTCCTAGCGTTTATCATTAATGAGCGGCGGTAAATGCCACAAGGGGAGGGGAGAGGAAGGGGAAGCGCGAGAAAGGACGACAACGAGCGCAAGAATAATCTTCCGGCAGAATAATGATTCATGAAAGAAGGAGGAGCGAGGAGGAAAAATGGGAAAAATCTTCGTTGGCAAGCTTCGAATCGCTTCGATCTCGAGTGGTCGAAATAAATGACGTTCTAATCTTCCAACTCGATTGACTCGATTCATTTTCAAATTGGAATTGAATCAGGCATGCGCGTGAATTTATCGGCGACTTTGTAAAATGTGTATCGTGTGTAAACGTGAAACGAGCTTTTGTAATCCTTAATAATTCATCGATTTCTTCGCGTAAAATCGTACGTTTTTCGTAACGAATTATTATCTCTTATACATACACGGATCAATTGTTCGTCTATTTAAACAGGCATATGTTAGAGTTATAAAACGTTATTTTTGAAACATCTAATAATATACAGATATAGATATTCCTCAATGAATTATATTTACCTTTTAACCGACATCGTCCGCAGAATCTTTCCTCGGCTTTCACACTTGATTTAGAATCACTCTATCGTGTCTATTATCACCATCTTCGTGATAAGGATCGATGCACCATCGTTTTGCCATTACGTTTACATCATCACGAAGTCAACGAAACTTGGTTCACGATTGAAATTTCCAATAATCAATCACAGGCTCGATATTTCGAAAAAATAACAATGTCCCTTTGAAAAACGTAATAAAATCTCAGGAAAAAAAAGGAAAGCGATTTCTCGCGCAAGAAAATTTAATACCACGAATGCACTTAATTCGACGATAATAAAACGATCGAGTTACTATTAAAATTCATCCGTCAGTATTTCAACTCCTTGGGGCTGAAAAACTTACCTTTGAAAAATTGAACCAATTATGTATAAATACGCAATATGCGTAATAATAATATCTACTTCTTTACGTTTACGTGTATCGAAATAAAATTTTTACTCAATTAGAGATCCGCTCTAAAAATTTGTACCTCGAAGAGTTGAAATGACAATTTTCCCTTCAAAAACTGTAACAAAATTTCTACGGAAAGGAAATAACGTCTTACGCAAGAAGATCGAAACGAAATGGTGCTATTCTACGAAACGAGCAACCAGCTATTCCACGATCTCATTAAACCTCGTAAAAATGATCCGAGGCGACTAATTAACCGTATAGGGCTTCGGAAGGAGGTCTAGGAACGATCCAGGTCCCTTCGTCGTTCACCCGTTGAATTTTGCATTCCGGTGTGTAAACAAGTCGAACTCCACGGGGAAGCTTCGTGGACAGAGAGAACGATGTAGGAAGCTCGTCGCTTTATCGAGCTTCATGAAACTTACATCACGCGTACCTAACCACCGACTGTAGTCGAAGACTGCAAAAAGTAACAAGAGTAGGAGAGAGAGAAAGAGAGAGAGAGAGAGAAGAGGAAGGGGAGGGGAGAGCAAATATAAACTGCGATCGAATCGATTTCCTTTTCTTTTTTTCTTTTCTTTTCTTTTTTACCAGATATCAGAGATATCGACCATACTTGCCGCCTAAGTGCTAATCTATATCGTCCATCGTGAAATGAATATCGCGGGTTCTAATTATATCGTACTCTTGGACCTTGTCACTATTCGCCTAGTCCAATAACGTGTATCCTTTTTTGGCCCGGTCGTGACACACCGACGAATAAAACGCTCGAGGAAAGGGACAATGAACTGCTGTAGCCCACGTAAAAAATTAACACGCTCTTTGTCCCCGGTGCTCATCCGTTGATCCACTGCGATTAAGCAAGGTAAGAATATTTTTTTCCTCGCCACTTTGATATCCGCGAAATTACGAAGAAGGCCGTATTAGAAATTAAAGAAAAGAATAGTTTAAAAAGAAAAGAACAAAATGAATCTAATTTCGAGATTGATTAGTTCACTAAAATATGTATAAGTATGGAGAAAGGCAGTGTGTAATCGCGAGAAAAATGTGAAACGAAACGTTTAAATATCTTTTTCTAAAGGAAATCACGAATCGATCGTTTTATAGATACTTTTGTATTCACCCGACGATAAAACCTATCACTCTGTAACAAGCACTGTACGAAAACGAAGCTATCGACACACTTACGGATCGCACAAACACCCGTCTATATATATATATATATATCTACACCTGTGCAACACAGCGATACGGCCAGAGATACGAAACGTTAAAAATCCTTACGGGCGGATGTAAATCGTGGCGAACACCGTTCTCGTTAAAATCGAGTTACACCCTTTCTTCGCTCGTCCATCCAGTTGAGATAATGGAAAAAACAGAGATATCCTTTTTTTCTTTTCTTTTTTGCGTGAAAGAAACACGAGGTACGGAGGAACAGAGGTAACGAGAAATAGGACGGAGAAGAAACGAAATCGAAGGAGAGAGGGAGAAGGAAGGAAAGAGAAGAAAAGAGAAAATAGCACAGAGAGAACACACGCGTTACCTGTCGCCGCGGGAGCCAGTGGCCGTATTCGAGATGTCGGCAGAATTCGCGGCTGGACTGACTCTACGAGGTGGCAGGGCGGGAGCAGGGGCCTGACTCGAGGACGAGGTCGAAACGGGCCCTATGACGCCCACGTTGCCCCCACGTACCCCGTCCTCGGCCGAATGTTGCCTCGAGGATTGCGAGCTCTGCGACAACCAACGACGACCGCCGCCTCTCGTCACCACCGTGGATACGCTCGACCCTGTTGCCTGATGGGACACCACCACCGTCCCTCCGCTGTCCAGTGACGTGCTCTGCGATCAGAAATTCAAATCAGCCGAGTTTGCTCGATCGAGATGGAAGGGATGGGGGATTGACTTTAACTTTTAGGAAAGGTTAGCTGGATACGAAAACGGGGGAGAGGGGAGACGTAACGAATTTACTTTTATCGATTTTTTTATCTTGATCGATGGTTGCAGCTGAGAGAATATTTTCATCATTGTGATTTTTATGACAATTTTAAAATATTTTGGAATATAGCGTAAAGTGAATTTCAATACGTTCTTTTGATGTATCTTTCATACAAAGATCACATAAAATTAGTCGTCTCGAAATTCTCTCTGCCATTCAATTTACGTAAGTCGTGTGAAATTACCATAATTCGAGAGAAATTAAATTTGAAACAAAAATGGGGGAGATCTAAAGGTGCGAACTTAATTTACGTAGCTAATAATTTTTTAATTATTAACGGGAGGAAAGTTAATAGAGTATAGCGAGAGAAATGTTTCAAGGTGCGTACTGTAAGAAATTGCGTTCAACTTCTGTTGGGATTTGAAGTATCCAGGTGAAGGTCGTGACAAATTTTTTAACATTTCGTTAAATAGCCAAACCTCGCTAAATAGAACAGGATTTATTTATGAAAGATCGTTGAGTTTGCCGTTCAAAAATTGCATAACTTATATTTCGACGAATCTTAGGATGCATTAACGAAATAAATAATAATTAATAGACTCGGGCAACGTTTTCTCCTTGAATTCTCGGACTTGGCACGTTCAGAACGATACCGTAAATGACGTTCCCTAATGTGGTAACTTGGATGCGGTTAGAATAAATAGAAACGTATTTGAGTTCTTTTCTTTGACGTTTTCAATTATTCCTTCGAGAGGGGAAGCTAATCGATTCAGCATAGGCTGTCGAAGTTGGTCTCGTCTTTTCATCGTCTTCTCTTTATTTTTTTCACTCCTTTTATCCGCATCCTTCGATGAACGACAAGCTAGTATTCCCGCTCGATGGAGAATTCGCATTCTTCGAGCAGGGAATTCGAGATTCGATGATCGCTTCGAGGAAATCGCCATAGAATTTCTTAAGATTCGCGGAATATCGAGAGGAGAGGGTTTATTGCCCATTTTTGCCTTTGTTAATCGCATCCGTGCCCTCCCCCTTCGCATTCTTTCAATTCTGTCCACCGTACATTAGTTTATTTTGCGACCCTCGTCAAAACGATATTAACTGTAATTGTTCTCTTTTTACGAATCATGAATTGTTCTACCCTTTTTCTTATCTATTAGAAAAAAATGATACAATTGTCGACTTACGATATATTTCTTATTCTAATAAAAATTAATGTTCCTTAAAATCTCTTTATTTATTTTTTAAAAATAACAAAAAACGAAAAATCTGCCAACTTTCTAACATCCAAATTATTAAATTCCATTTTTCATCATTTATTATTATCTCATTTGCGAAAGATCGAAAATATCTTTCATTTCTGATGGATTTGGAAATGGAAACTATCAAATATCATCGATCGACACGAAAATCAAACCTCTTCGAGATTACATAAAAGTATTCTGGAAGTAATCGTGACGAGGTAATGTCGGCGCGTCGCAACACCAGACGAACTAAACTCACAACACAGGTTGCCGGCTGTTTCTACTTCCAAATACGGACGAGGTGCGAGAGACTGGCTACGCAACTCCTTCGATGAAAGTATTTTTATTTTTGTCGTGAGCTACGCCGAAGAAACCCGTCTCACCATGCCGATCCATCGTGGATCGAGAGGAGTCGTAACAAACCGGAGAGAATCCTATCGCTTAAAGATATCGGCCATCAGATTTCTCGTCGATTAATTGTGGCCCGTGTTCCATCGCGTTTTTCTTTTTTTCTTTTCTTCTCTCTCTCTCTCTTCTCTCTCTCTCTCTCTCTCTCTCTCTCTCTC